AAGCGCTATCAGATAGCGAAGAAAGAGGCAAAGAAGGCCGTTGCTTCTGCGAAAGCAGCTCATTTTGCTGATCTCAATGAGAAACTCGAGTCGCGCGATGGTGAACGGTACGTTTACCGACTCGCAAAGACCCGCTATCGCCAGACCGAGGATATAGAAAAGTTCTTCGGCATAAATGATGCGAATGGTCACCTTCTGACGGACCGCGAGAAAGCATTGAAGCGATGGTGTGAATACTTCGAGAACATCTCAACAGTCGAATTTGCTCATCCCGCCATCCCTTGCGCTCCGCCAGTACACGGCCCGTTCAGAAGATAACCATGGAGGAGACCATTACGGCTATGAAGAAGATGAAATCAGGCAAAGCGACTGGTCCTGACGACTTAGCGGCGGACTTGTGGAAATCAAAGTGCTGGAATCCTGCACAGTGGTTGACGGAGTTCTTCAACCAGGTCGTTGCAGAGAAGAAGGTGCCTGAGAGCTGGCAACAGAGCACGACGATTCCAATCTGGAAGAAAAAGGGCAGTCCTGCGGACTGCACTAGCTACCGTCCAATTCGCCTGCTCTCGCATAGCATGAAAATCTTTGAGCGAATTGTAGACAGTCGTATCCGTGACGTCGTCGAGCTGACCACCAACCAGTGTGGTTTTGTTGCTGGTTGCAGCACCATCGATGCCATACACGCCGCTCGCCTTCTGCTAGAAAAGCATCGCGAAAAACAAAAGCCGATACATCTTGCCTTTCTAGACTTGGAGAAGGCTTTCGATCGCGTTCCACGTGACGTTATATGGTATGCTTTACGACAGCATGGCGTTCCCGAAGAGCTTATTGAGTGGGTGCGCATCCTGTACTCGAGTCCAAAGAGCCGAGTGCAAACGGCCGCGGGCACATCGACGGATTTTCCCATCTCTGTCGGAGTACACCAAGGCTCTGCGTTATCCCCACTGCTATTTGTTGTCGTCATGGATGCCATTACAAAAGATCTCCAGAAGCCGGTACCATGGACGCTTCTTTATGCTGATGACGTGATGCTCGCTAGCGAAGATAAAAGCACGCTTGAGCAACAGGTGCAAACCTGGTCCGACCGTCTAGCTATGTTCGGACTCAGGTTGAATGTCAAAAAGACAGAGTACTTGACCACCGATCCGAGTGAGCCAGGCTCTATTAAGATCAATGGTACTGAGCTCACACGTACAACAACATTCAAGTATCTGGGATCAGCAATTGCGTCTGACGGCAGCCTGGTCGTGGAAACGAATTCTCGCGTGAATGCAGCCTGGTTGAAATGGCGCTCGATGACTGGCGTTCTCTGCGATAAGAATATACCTGAGCGTCTCAAATCCAAGATCTATAGAACCGTCATCCGGCCGGTCGCCATTTACGGTGCTGAGTGCTGGCCTGCGACCAAAGAAGTTGAAGCCCGTCTCGGTGTGATGGAGACAAAGATGCTCCGCTGGACAGCCGGAGTCACACGATTAGATCGCATTCGTAATGATGTCATCAGGGAGCGATTCGGTGTAGCTCCGATTGTTGATAAAATGCGCGAAGCCCGTCTCCGATGGTATGGACATGTTCTTCGCGCGAATGAGGACAGTGTCCGTAAGATCGGTCTCAACCTTGACGTGCGCGGAAAGCGGCCTAGAGGACGTCCGAAGCAGCGATGGCTCGACACGTTGCACGAAGACTTGAAGAGCGTTAACATCCACCCCGATCAAGCATTCAATCGGGAGAAGTGGCGTCAACACATCAGAAAAGCGGACCCCGCCTACAAGCGGGACAGACGCTAAAGAATAAGAAGGGTTGGCGTCGAACACTTACAACAAACACTTTCATATTCGCCTAGCTCTCTTTGCACAATAAAATTAAACCACACACGCGGGCCTCCTCCTGCGAAAAAGAGTACTTCTGTACTCCTCGCCACTCCACAAGGCTGGAGCCCCACATTCTTTACCACGTTCGGTACATGAAGAATTCCAAGAAACGCTGAAGCTCTATTTGTTACAGCTTCCCTCATATTCCCGAAGAAACTGTGGAGAACAATCGTTTCATGTATAATATCGCAAAGGGTGAGGATTGGCCAACACTAGCTACGGCAACGCCTAAGGTAGGAACACATAACGGCTGCATTCCAAGTTCCCATCACTGTGATTCGCGCTATACATATTTACTACAGGAAATGTACGAAGGTACAGTACGAATGCTGATGGAATATGGTGCAACTTGCATGGAACATCTTGAGCTGTTGAACAAATGTAGGATTTCACTTTTAGCTTTACAATTCTACTCTGTTTTGTTCCATTTGACCAGAGTCAAATAGTGTTGCTTTGTGATAACGTGGTCTTTTTCCAACCTTCCATCTGCCCTTTGTGACTTTTAGTGCCTGCGGAGGAGCGCACTTTCGAAACGGTTGTTGAACCTCTTCTAACCGAAGAATATGACGTGGATTACGCTCTGCAGACACTTCTTCTCAAAATGGTCACGGATTGGCCAGAATGTGACCGGAAATTATTTGATGCTGACCTACATCATGTACGTGCCTTATTTTGCTTTCAAATTCTCCTATTTACTCGAAAAATTGATATTGGGTATACAATTCACATTTTGTCTTCTTTGTTACTGGAACGGATTTTTGCTTTTTTTTAGATAAAAATCATGAGCGCACGCGACCACATGGAAAAACTATCCAATACCGATTTTCAGGACGCAATTAAGGTAATGTTGTTCCAGAGCTGTTGTATTTTGAATTTGTTCATATGGCGGATTCGGGGCTGTAGCATGGATCTTGTACATCACAGTGGCTGCTCCCCAAGCCGTGGTATATTCATGTCAAGTACATTTGAGCAACTCAGGAAGAGTTAACTCAACGCTCAGATGTTGGCCAGACTCGGCGATTGTGCCGAGTGATGGGCGGTTGCGATCGTCATCGCTCGGCCGTCGCTCGCTGATTGCGCTCTAGCTCGGCAAACGTGCGGGCGTTGGCGCATCGATACAGTCGGCAGGCAGCGGCCTATCACATGCTCTTCTGTCAAGATAGGCATCGATCGCAGGCGAAGCGAACGCCCGTCGCTCGCATTTTTGCGGGGCGATGCCATCGCCCGAGTCTGACGGACATCTTAGCTTACAAGGAGGGTCTTTCAGAGAAAGCCACGCTTTTTGGAAACGGTTTCTTGCATATTGTAGGGACGCATGTATGGACCACAAAACCATGTTTCGTTTTCGCTGAACGGTTTTAGTAGTATCAAAAAAGTGGTGAATGATACCTTGATGGTTCGATCCCCCGCGGCGACTAAATTTTGCAATCAAGGTTGGCGGCCACTTGTTGGCTTCAAAATGGTCCTGACGATGAATATGACATCTGATTTTGACATTTAGCGCGATTTGGCACCAAACCGTAGGCGCCAACCCAAATGCAAAATTTAGTCGCCACGGGGGATCGAACCATCAACCTTATGCTTCTTTTTTGGTACTGCTAAAACCGTTCAGCGAAAATGAAACATGGTTTTGTGTTCCCTACATGCGTCCCTACAATATGCAAAAACCGTTTTGAAAAAGCGTGGCTTGCCCTGAAAGACCTCCTTGTTAGTTTTTGAGCTTTCCTCCTTTTGCTGCTGTTGTTCTGCTACTTGCTAGATTTTTTCAGCAACTCTACGATGCAAAGGAAGGGCTGACAGAGTGGCAATTACGGCTTCTTGAGTGGTACTTGCTTGAGGTGAGCTATCAGAAG